GCGGGTGGGCGCTGGGGGGCAGGTCTGCGCTGTGCTCGGTGCCCTCCTGACTTACTGTTCGGTTGGGGCGTCTGGCCTAGGGCTACACACAGTTCCTCTCTTTGTTTCCACGGCTTTGCAGAATGTACTTTCCGCAAAAAGGCACAAAGGTCCTCTTTCTTCCGCTCGCCTGCGCCCCCGAGGGTGCTCTGCGGGGCTCGTGCCTGCCAGCCCAGGCCGCCCTAGGACTCGCCCAGCGCGGACTGTCGCAGCCTCACCGGCAGCCTGTGCTCACGTGGCCTGAACGGCGGCCGTGGCCTCCCCGGCGGGCAGCCAGCCCCGGTTCTTAGAGCCGCAGCGCCTCTAGCGGCCGGGCGGACCCTGCAGCTCGCGGCCGTCCTCCCCGCAGGAGTTGGCCCGCGCTCCCTGGAAACAGAGACGCGTAGTCCCGGGGCTTGGCTGACACCACCCCCGGGACTTTGAGAAATTCTGATGCCATGGTTGCAGCCTGGGCACCAAGTTCTCACTAGGTCTCAGTTTCCTTGCCACTCATCTCGGTCAGTTGTGACGATGAACTGAGATAATGGGTGTGAAGCGCTAGAGCAGCCCCGGGCACTCAGGAAATGCCCTATAGATGCGGCTTTTCTGATTTTTGGGGGGATGTCTCCTTTGAGGGGAAAACATGATCTGCCTTCTTCTGCTCTGTCTCCTGCTTCAAAACCTTCAGGATTTCTCTTTTGCCCTAAGATTAAGCCCTGACATCATCCACAGTCACTCACCAAAGGTCCCTGCCCTAGCCTGTGGCTTTACCTTCCCTGACTCCTGAATCTGCACACCCCACCTCAAAGCGCAAGTCACACACCTGAGCCCGCTGCAGGCCCTCCCTGTCAGCTCCAGCCCGTTACATGTCCCTACCTCGTCCTGGCTCACTCTTTCTGCCCTCTGCCTCCATCTGGCTAACTTCTTCCCCTCCCATATGACTTGGCACAGGTGTGACTTCCTTTCCTGGCTCCCAAGAACAGGTATGGTGCTCCCTGCGTGTTCCCACAGGACGCTGTGCTACTCCCCCTAAGGCCCTTACCAAGCCTAGGCATTGTCTATGTAGATTTACTTCTCTCTGCCTCTAGGGGCTAGAAGCTCAGGGTGGGCAGGACCTGTTTTGCTTACCTCCTCTGGTTCAGTAATATTGGAATGAATGAGCGAGTGATCAAATAAATGGGTTTAGAACAAACAAAACAGAAACAAACTCAGATGCAGAAAACAGACTGATGGTTGCCACAGGTGAGGAAGGCTGGAGGTACTGGGTGAAAAAGGCGAAGAGATTCAGAAGTACAAATTGGTAGTTAGAGAGGAGTCTCGGGGATGTTAAAGTGCAGCATACAGAAAATAGTCAATAATATTGTAATAACTATGTATGGTGCCAGGAGGGTACTTGAAATATCAGGGGGAACACTTTGTAAAGTATAACATCCAACCATTATGCTGTACACCTGAAACTAATACAAAATAACGCTGAATGTCAACTGTAATTGAAAAATAAAAATTAAAGAAGTGAGTGAGTTTAATTGAATGAAGGAATGAAAGTTCTCTTTTATTGTAGAATCAGAAACTTCATGTTGTGCAATCCCACCCACCAAGGGTGCTGTGTCTGACCAGGGGAACCCTCAGGCATAGCTCTGCAAAGGCCCATAGTGACCACAGCTACCCATCCCTCACCCTCTCCAGCCCCACCTTGCTTACGGAGCCCTGGTGTTGAGGTTGCTCTGTGTGATGTCCTATTTCCAGAGACTAAAATAAAGCGAAGGGTACTTGTTAAACTGGTTCTGGGTCACAGAGGAGCCAGATCCCATCTGTTATGTTAAATTTTATTAGAGAAGTACTACAGAGGAGAACAACCCAAGTGTACATCAACAGATGAATGAATAAACAGATAAAAAAGGGTGAAATTCTGATACAGGCTGCGAAAGGATGAACGTTGAAGACAGTATGCTAAGTGAAATAAGCAAGACACAAAAGACAAATATCATCTGACTCCACTTACATAAGACACCTGCAACAGACAAACTCTTAGAGACGGAAAGTAGAATAGAGGTACCAGGGGCTGGAGGAGAGGAGAGCAGGGAATTACCAGTTAATTTATACAAACTTCTGTTTGGGATACTAAAAAAGCTCTGTAAATGGATAGTGGTGAAGGCTGTATAACATTATGAATGTATTTAACGCCATTCATATAATGAATGAATTGTATGCTTAAAATGATTAATTTTCATGTTATGCATATTTTACCATGAAAAACCCCTACTTTATTAGAAACCTAAACTGTGGCAATGCCCTAACTGCACCCTCAGGGAATGACTGTTTATAAAAAAGTAGAGCTTTAGGGCCTCAAACATACCTGGCTTTTCCTTGAGGCCTAAAACTGAAACACAGAGCCCCAGAAGGTTAAATTGTGTGGATGACCAGAGGTACCAGGAATGCCAAACACTTACAGTTGGTTTCTTCAGTGGGTGAGATCCAGACAAAACTGCTAAAGGAGAAATATTACAATATTCAGAGAGCATCACAACATGTTCGGGGAAAGAATCAAGTGCTTGTGTCCAAAGAATTTAGAAGTATAATCAAGCTATTGTTTGCAAATGCTTAGCTAAAATGAGGTCTCCTCAAAAATAAAAACTCAGGGAACAAAAATTAAACCCAGGGAACTATCGTATACCAGGTAATTGTAACTGTTTACAAGTTAAGAAAGGAAAGGCAATTGAAGGGACCCAGTGGGCGACAGAAATAAGAATTCAGGATGCTTTTCCCAAAGAGGTGCCTAAACCGGAATTAGGTAGGAAATTTCCAGATTTGGTCTCCTCTGACCAAAATGGTGGGGCTGAGGGATTAGTCCTCAAAAGGTGATTTGGCCTTTAGTTGAAATCAGGTTTCTGCAAACTGCTGAAGAGAGATCAAAGCCTGTTTCTTGTCTCAGCTCCTCTGTGCTAGAGTATCCAGGCCCTGCCCCAAACCTCAAGGAGAAACCCTTAGCCACTGGCCATTAGCATCAGCCCTTCAGCATCTTTTTGCTCATTATGAAGTCAGGCAGACAAAGTTTAAGTTAGGGCAGGAAAAATGCAAGTTCCTGTATGCTGGGTCCACAAACGTAGCTGGGAAAGACTTGGGTTATGGTTTCCAGCTGTCTCCTGTTCAGGTTGGGTCTCCCCCTTCGAAGGGTCTATACTACCTTCTCTTTCTGCCAAGTGCTTTTGCACCTCTGATCTCCTATATGCTTGACCTCTCTAAGGGAAAGGAGGGAGAGGGATTGTTGAATATTACAATCTGAACCTTACCCCTGGGAGATGAGACCTCCAGAGTCCAGGGGAGCCAAGGCAGGAAGACAGCCAGGCCTCAGAGCCCCTACAAGTCCAGGGAGGGATATAGGGGCAGCCTTAGTCACTTCCCTTATCTTCAGGTCTCAAATCAAGCTTTACTTCCTCCAGACAACCACCCGACCCCCTCAACCCCAGGCCAAACCAGCACTTCCTGTTACAAGTTCTCAGAGCTTCCAAGTTTTTCCTTTGAAGAGCTCATTACTTTATGGAATTCTAAATTCATAAAATTACTAGATTGTCTGACTCTCCCACTAGGCATCAAGCTGCTCTAGAGCAGGAAACACACCTGTTTTGTTGACTACTATGTCTCCTGTGCCTAACCAAGTGACCAGTACATAGTAGGTTCTCAATCACCATAGTAGGTACTCAGTAAATACTTGTTGACTGAATGAATCGATGGGAGCCAGAGGAGATGGAAAGGGTGTTCTGAAATATTTCCTTTGAGTCCTAAAAATGAAACTTGCTCCCATGTTTAGTTTACTTTATCCCCACGTTATGTTAATAATAACTATCATTTCCAACCATACTAGTAATTATGGTAACTGTTTACTGAGTTTTCACTCTATGCCATGTTCATGGTTTATCTAATTTAGGGTTTGTCTCATCTGACCCTGACACCTATGCTCTGGAGCAGATACTAGGATTCCATATCAAAGGTAAGAATACTAAAGCTCTGAGAAGTTAGTTAAGTGTCTTTCCCTGTGGCCATACAGACATCAAATGGCAGAGCAGGGATCTGACTATTGCTGGGTCCTTCATGTACATAACTGCACTTCATCCTCCCGGAAACTCTATGAGGTTAGGCCCAGAGAGGTTAAGCAATCTGCATAAGATTGCACAGCTAGAAAGCCAGGGAATCGGGCTTCAAACCAGGCTCTGATCCAAACCACCACTCTCCAAAAGAATGTCTTCATGGCTCAGTAGAAAATGTCACTTTAAAAAATGACTGGAGAAGTCCATTGAGTGAGGCCACCAGTATGAATCAGGACAAGAAATTTGGATTCAATTGAACAGAAGCCCTGAAGTTCCTGTTGAAGGGGCTGCTTATCCCATTTTCCCCCCACTCCAGCTTAGTGCCCATTGCACTTTCCTGCCTGCCCCTGTCTCAGGAAATTACCTTTCCTCTGATTCTCCCAGCCTGGGGCCACTGCCTTGGATTGGATCCTTTATCTAGAACCGAGCCTGGGGCAGGGGAGGGTTTCCTGCGACCTCCCTCTGAGTCTCCCTGCCTTCACCGGGCCTCGCGGGCACTTGGCCAGCCTCTGTCTCCGCAGTGCCAGGACTCCATAGAGCTGGGAGTTCCTGAAAGGCCAAGCAGCCTTTCCCCAGTCTTGGGAACAGAGCAGCTCTTGAGTCCTTGCTGCTGGCAGGGCGGAGGGAAACCATGGCCCCTTGGAGAGGGGCCCGCCCACGGGAGACTCCATGAGCACAGCCTAGCACAGGGGGCCAGCGGTTTTCAGAGTTTTCAAAAGTACATTTCTCAGCCACAAATCATGCCATTGTCACAGTGGCACTTCCTGTTTTACACAAATCAACCATATGAAAAACAGAAAGAGGCAAAAGGCTGGCATTCATGGCAGCTGCTGGGTTGTTTGGGAAATGTCGACTTCTGGGACGGCTCAGAGGCCGAGGAGACACATGAAAGGGGTGGGGCGGCCAGCTCTGCTTTCCACCGCCTTCTGTGCCAACCCCCCAGGCCTGATCCTCGCAATCAATTTCCCAACCGGTCCTGGCGCTCCGGTCTCTCCCTCTCGTTCTCCACAGGCC